CCCATGGTTTCTCCCCACGTCTGGAAAATCACCTCCTCCTCTTAATTTCAGGTAAGAGAGACCTTTGAAAACTACTGAGTGAAAAGGAGAGCTGTCTATCATGCATTGTGTCATGCAAAACCAGAGGTTGGTCTGCAAGCCCTCTTCTGTCTTGTTCAGACCAGAAACATGAACTTCAAGCCTTTACTTCTTGGGTTACAGAGTTACGCCAGAGACCAACCAACAGCCTTCTAGATTCTGAAAAGCAAAGCCCACAGCTCAGGACTGACCACAGCAGTCCTGCACAGTGTGACCACCAGGCGTATGGTAGTCACAAATGGCCTTCTACCCCACCAGAAGTTTCCTTCTGAAGGGGACAACCTTTCCCAAAGAAGCTACCAGATACATTCCCACCAAGATGTCCAACCTCCCACACATACTGTTGTTTTCTTACCTCATTATACTGTTTGAGTGCCTGTCTGCTATACAGATTTACAGTAGACTAACACTATTAACACTGAGACAATCCTTGGAACAAAGTGAGATTAAATACTCAGTGAAGACTCCTGCAGAAACATTTATCTTTTAACAGGCTATGTTCCAAATTCTGCATGCTAATCTCATAAGCAGTTTCACTGGAGCACAGAAATTTAACTAGAGTTTATATTACTTCTATCAGTTTTCCTACAGAGTAAGAAAGCTCTTTTGCTTGTATTTTGCAAATGGAACTTATTTTTGGAAAAAGCAAAAAAAGAAGGAAGAAAAAAAGGAAGAAAAAAGATAAGTTCTGAAACTTACAGCTCACACAGAATGTTCTGATCTAATTTATTTCCTTTCATAAGTGGAAAGAAAGCCAATTTAAAAGTTTAGGAGACAGACAGAGAGCATCACCATCTTCTACTTAGGAGGAAATTAGGGCCAATGGAGGAAATGAAATGGAAAGTTGACTCTGAAAGCACAGAACAGAGCACAGACATCTCAGAGTATTACAGTTAAATCACACAATACCAGGAAAACTCTCTGCTGACCTATACCTAGGCAATTCTGAAGGTGAGAACCACTACAAGATAGCTACTTTCAAAAAATTTGGTTGTCTTGTAAAGCTGCTATATGATTCTACTACTAGTGTGGGTGGGGGGTTGATCTGGTTGCTTTTCTCTTAAATTAAGAACCAAATCATTATTGTGCTCTGCTCTATAATGAATAATGAACCCTTTACAGCTTCATTCACCAAATTACCCCGTTTCTCCTGAATAGCTTTAAAGGTTCTGAAACACATACTGGCAAAGGGGATGCCATAAAATAAAACTGTAACTGTAGATGAATATATAATATAAAAATTGGCATTTGAACTCTGAAATTCATTTTGGTAGCCTTAGAGTGTATTCCACATAATTCTTGCTCTTGACTCAGCTTCTTGATAGCTTCTTTACAGGAGAAGGTGTGTGTATATTAATGTTTAAATAAAAACAGCTAAGAAGAAAACTAACAAAACAATGAAGGAAACGTATTGACTCAACCCATCAAACCAGACACACGAACAAGTTACTGCAAAACTTCATTGGTATGTATTTGACCGAAGAATGTTAGAATTATATGTTTTTCATCTGTTACGCAGCAAGTGTGATTAATTAAAAGAAATAGGTAATTAACATGTACTTGCCAGATTCATATTTTGGAGCAAAAACTGCAAGGCACACAGACAGAAATCTGGATACCAGCATTTCAATTCCTAAGGTTCCCCAGCTCTCCTGAAGTCTAGGAACAGACAAATCTTAGGTAATTTGTTGGTGCCAAGGGCCAGATTAATCTTTCCTAAATGAAAGAAGGCTGGAAAATATCACATAAACATGTATTTCTGATCCTTTAAGATACTTTAAAATACTCATGAGGTCTCTCAATCACAGTTCAGCAGGAACCAAAAGCAAGACAAAACCTAGAAAACCAATACTGCAGCCTTTCCCTCTCTCACTGCGCCACTTTTTCTTATAAGAGATTACGGCATGGACCAGTATATATTGCAGCCCCACTGCATATTTCTCTCCCTTTTTTGACATGAACTAAACATAAAAGAATGCTCTGAAGAATCATTCTGTAAATTATCTTTGATATTGAACTCTTTCGTTTTCCATCTGAAGAACTTAAGTTTCATTTCTGACAAGTGATAAGAGGCTTACTTTCTTTTTAAGTAATAAAGCTTCAGACTCTCCACAACTGAAGATGCACAGTTTTTTACTACTGTTACCTGAGCTCCTACAAGCTAACAGCCTACCTGCGTGAGTAAAATTTATCCCCTATGACAAACTTGACAAAAAATGGCTTGAAACTTCATGAAAATAATTTTTGTCCTAAGCTTTAAATTAATGAACACGAAACTGCATTTTATGACAGCTAAGTGATGCAGAACAGATGTTGAGCTAAGATTTCATTTGCCAAATATCAGCTCAGAATACATGTGAGACTGGAGTACTAGCAATTCAAACTACATAGTGAAAACAATGGAAAAGATTTGTCAACTGTATCAGTGCCTGCCAACCATTTTCTGGGACTTTAGATGGAAATTCCGCCTGAAATGAAGAGTCCAGAAAGTAATGTTTGGTTTTAGGCATGCTAATTACTTACTGGGAAGCCTATGTTGTCTTCTGGATATCTCTTTCTCATCTTGAGCTGACTGACATCACGAACGCTAATCAAACCCCTCTAATTAGGATGCTTTTGTCCTGCAGGTTTCCCTCTTCCAGTGAGCCTTTGTTTGGACCTCTGGTGGAACAGGTAGGCTCAGTGTCTGAAAATGATGCCTGCCATTTCACTCCATGATTCATGTCAGTCACAAAACACCCCAACCAACCAGCCAAACAAAGCAGCAGTAGGTCTGTAAGGAAACTCAGACCTTATCAGTTGACAAAGTCCATCCGCTGACCAACATGTCCATTTTTTTCGTGCTGTGGAAGGTATAAATTATAACCCTTTGAGAAACAGTGTAAGTTAATACAGCCATTGAAAGTCTCTCTCTTGTATTTGGGCCATGTTTTTCTTTTCCTAATTATACCAGTCATGTGCTACCCTAAATAATTTCTGTCTTTCCATAATATTTTTCCAAACATCTGGAAAATCTTCTTTCTGTCACCTCCTTTCCACACTTGTCATTTATCTATGTTTTTGTAACCTTTCCATAGAAATCGAGACGTTAGAAGTCTCCTCATTGCTTTTGTTGCTTTTCATCAAACTCCTTCCAGTTTTTCAATGTCATTCCAATAGCCGAATGGTCAACAACTGCTGTAAGCCACAGACAGTTTCACAGACAGTCTGCCTAGGTGGACTATAGATATTTTAATTATAGAAGGCAATACTCATGAATGCATAAATGATATCACAGGATGAGAAAGAAGCAAAAAGCAAGCAAATGAAAAATTTGCATAAAATTTACATAACGTGTACTAACTATTAAGTAACACTTTTGAAGTGATAGCAGAGCAACTGAACAGAGACAGCTCTCCTTAAAAAGATACTGTGTCTAGGACCTGTAGAGATACTGTAAATACATTTTCCCTGTCTCGGGGGAATACTGCCTTCAACATCATCATGCTTCTCCTAAAAGCATCTCATGTAGATTACAGTCATTTCTCCACTGGTTTACTGCACTCCTAATACAGTTTTCTTTGTATCTGACCACAAGGCAATGACAGACCAAAGCTCCTTCTATATGAGCTTTTATATTCTGGAACACAGTATTATCAAAATACCAAGGTTTCATACAAAGACTTGTTTCCCTCTGGTTACCAATGTTTGCTCTGGGACAGGGGCAAGAAGGGTAGGACTTTAATTTATATTTTTTCAAATTTCTGGAGAGAAACCTAAGTAAGGGAGGGGGGGAATTTAAAGACAGAAGTTTGCTCAACAAGTAAAACTCTGTAATGCCATAAGTAGCTGCATGCAGCATGTTTCTGATGCACCATAAAATTTAGCTGTTGTGTTCCCAGGTGGAAAGACAGAGAGGACTGCTACAGTGCTGAACAAGCAGAGAGATCACGTTGTGAATGCTTGGGTTTTCTTTAATGCAGGGAAAGAAGTCTTTTAAAACTACTGCTTGAACACTTCCAGCAATTTTGCTGGTGGCAAATTTTTGGGCTCTCCTATTACTACATTACATTCAGCAAAAGAAGTAAAAATTAACAATAAAAAAAAAAACACCCAAACCACATTATCTGGCACAGAAAAACCTTGTATAAATTAACACTTTCCACAAGTTTAATTAAAAGTCACCAAAGAGACTTACTTTCTTTTCCATTAGAAAACAGAACAAAAATCACTAAATGCATTATCATGGAAGTCGAAGAAAACTCTCTAATTAATCTGCCTGCTAGGAGTTTTTTCCTTGCACCTTCCCATGGTATATAGGGAAGGTCATGCCTCACAGCAACATTAATAGTTACACTATATATTTCAAAAGCATGCACATTAACAACCATTTCTGCAAAGCTGTAACATACACATTCTGTTACCATGTACTGGCACGGGAAGCCTGCACAACGCACAGGGTGAAGCATAAGCCCGATTACACAACCAGGCTTTCACTTTGCTTAGTCTCATTGCCCAACACCAGAATATCCTTTTCTGCCACTTTTATGAATATTAACTGCAGACAAACCAAGAACTCTTACAACTTCTGCCCACGAAGGAACTTGAAAATTCAATCCACAATGGTTAGAGTCAATAGTCATACCACTCCTGTTTTCACAGAAAATTACTTTTCTTAAGCTTTTGGAGGGTGGTGCTACTGAAAGCAGGCTAAACACACACATTCTAGAGCACACCTATCATTTTATTTCACAGAAGAGCTCATGAGAGCCTTCCAAGAGAAAGCATTAGGACAAAGCTGTTATGCAAATGAAATCTTTCACGTTCTGTCACAGGGTTGTTTTTTTTTTTCATATTCAACAGCAGAAATACACAAAGCAAATCAGAATTAAAAACCTCTTCATAAGCAAGAAACAGTAGTAGACAATGAAGGTTTCACCCACCTGGGATCTTTCTGAATGCTATCAATGGAAGGTGACCTAGCCAAGGTCCCTTCAGGTGGGATGGCTGGCCCAGATTTGCTGTATGGTGATTCAACAGAAGGACAATACTGCAGCTGTCGGTAGGGGTCTGCGTAATTGGAGGCTGGGCCGGCTGCATAGCTGGCCCTCTGGAAGGTCGCTGTTGCGTTCTGTGTGCCGTGTTGACTGCCTGTGCGCTGTAAGGGTACGGAGTCGACACCAGGGGAAGATGGGGCTACGACAGGAAAGTAGGGACAAAGTAAAAAATTGAGGACCTGTTCACAGAAATGGTTAACCAGGTCTAGGCAGAGGAGAAAAAAACCAAAACACACACATATAAAACAGGGGTTCAAAAAAAAAGAAAAAGAAAATGAGGAAAAAAAAAAAGAACAAGCAACATTGTAATTCTCAAAACCATTTAAGCAAATAATTGTTAAACGAATTTCTAAATGACATGCTGCTTCTGGACTAGAAGACCTTTACACCAGTTAAGCAGACTTTTCTCTAGGAGTGCTTTTCTCTGGGAGTTTTAACTCTACTAACCTGAAATGAAAGAAGTGCAGAAGCAGCATAGGAACAGTCAAGCTAAGACTCAAGACCATCAGTGAGTGAGGCTTTTGCAGTTCTTACGGGGTGGAAGTCAGTCAGATGCCCCAACAGAGTCCAAACTGAGACGAGTGGCTCCATAGGAGAAGAAATAAGGCAGCCATAGCCATCCCAGATTTGTAGTCCTGGTATGCATAAAGCAGGTAAAACCAGACAGCTGCTACTAAGAGTGGCTGCATATGCCTCATCGACCCATCTTCTGCATATTTCATCTTAAGTAAGGCTTAGGGGAGTGCTACTGCTAACTCAGTTTGAAAAAGAGCTAAGCACATGCAGATGTCTTAATGCATGCCAGCAATGGCTGTGCTCACATAACCACAGCTCAAGATTAATGCATTAGCAGTTCTGAGTGGCTAAACCAATAGATTTAAACTGACTTAACGCTTTTGCAACTCAAAAATCTTATTAATCTCTCTTGTAGCCCATTATCTTTCTGTTGCAGCACTATGTACTGCAGATTCAGTCTGCTTTATGATTTTTATTAAACATGCAATATTTTTTAACCAAGTCCAGTTAATAGCAAATGGATTATCACTGTACAGGCCACAGGACCAATAGCCACATGATCTTTGTCCTGGAAACAAATACAAGTTAAGTACTGGTTCGGCTCAGAAGGAAATTCAGACTGTTTGAAGTGGCACGTGAACTGATGGTGGCTCCCATTTCCCCTTGTCCCAAGATGAGTACTTTTTCCATAAGAAGTGAGCTCAGGTCCGTCACTATTTTTACCTTGGTCAAATTCATATACTAATCTGTAGGCAAAACCGCATATTCAAGGGACAGGTTTGCATAATAGATTTCCCACTCATTTCTCATTAACATGCAGACTTACATTTTAGGAAAATATTTAATATATTATAGGTCCATGAAAGTGACTAAGTATTTTATCTCGAAGTGACTCTCAAAGTCAGCAAATGAATTATAGTGAGCTTTAAATGCAATTACAGCAGTTTTGTCCGATTTAGTACTTGTCAAAGTTTCAACACCTGAATATCTTAAATCTGTATCAAATCTTTGCTTATTTTTTTTATTATGGTTCTGAAGTATATAATTTTACAACAGAAGTATCATCTGACAGATCTCTTACAAACACAGATAAATAAGATCACTCACTTATCTATTGCCCTGAAAGTGTTCAAGGACAGGCCAAATGGGGCTTTGAGCAAACTGGTCTAGTGGAAGGTGTCCCTGCCCATGGCTGGGAGGTTTGAACCATATGATCTTTAAGGTCCCTTCCAACCCAATCCAGTCTATGATTATATTAACTTCTATATAAAGTAACATTTTACAGGTATTGCTCTTGTTTAATTGCTAGTATATATTTCCTTGAGAAATGAGCAATAAGACACATACAGGCCTTTACATAAAACTACATCAGCTAAAATACAGTAACATCAGCATACTGAAACATCCCATGCACAAATCATGCTAAATCCAGTGTTAGGAAGACACAAGGAAAACATCACATTTTAACAGAGAATACACACAGTTCAAACCCAAATGTGGTGCCTTGTGAGAAAAAGAGTAAAAAAAAAACAAACCAAAAAAAAAAACAAATTGGAGAAAATACTGGAACTATTTTCAAATGAAAAAGGGAAAATGTAATTGTATACTGATATAGCATACTCTTAGGTGCTGTCACTTCACAGAGTATGCTCCTAGCTTTTGACCCATTACACCGGGGACTGCAAAAGACCATACAACATTAATACTGCTGAAAAAAAAAAACTTCATTGTAATGTAGATTGCCATCTTTTCCCTTTCTCTCCTTTGCAAGACAGTTCAATGGGAACAGTGTTTGTTTAAAAATGATATGAAAACTTTTTTATTCTCTCCTTTGCCTTGTTATCAAAATAAGTATTTATATAAACTGAAACTAGCTGTCACCCTAACACCTACGTGCTTTTTCGAGTCACTCTGATTCGCTTCTCAAATTATCTTTCCAGCAGACTGTTACTTCCTTTTGAATTTTATCACAATGAGCACAGAAGTGCCATAGCTAGAATATGAGAATGAGACAAATCTATGACTTAAACATTCACAAATAAGCTGGCTTGGCCAGTGTCACCCAGATCAATTAAAACAAACAAAAAAAAAGCTTTAGAGTAGCTTCTACATCCAACCTGACAACAGTCACCTTCATGAACTGTAAAAGGGTCAAGCTTCAGCAGACATTTGCACACAGTAATTTTAATGTAAAACTGAAGCAGATCCATCTCCTGCCAGTACGCTACTTGCTCAAACAAGTCCTTCTGGCAGCCAGACTTATTGAATGAAGTGTGACTCTTCTCACTATGACAAACTTTGTCCTTGAGAGCTCCCTTCTATTTAGCTATTGGAACAGCAAACCATAGAGATTATTAGACATCTATTAAAATAAATACATTCAGAAGACCATTTGTCTAACCCAGCAAATGTAACTCTTAGTGAGCACAGGTGTATCCAGAAAGCAAACAGCCAGAGGGGACCAGAAAGTATTAATGTGCCAGCAGAGTTTGTAGATTGACATGCAACCTTTCTATCTTGAAGACAATTACCCTTTTCTCTGACTTCCATATTCGACTCTCCTAAGTTAAGGCAGCTACACCTTGCCTAGAGTCAGCTCAGTGTGGGTAAGATGCAATACTACTTTGACAAGGATCACGGTCCTGTCCCAGCAAAGGAAGAGAGGGGTGGGAAGGAGTTGTAACAAAAGTGCTGTTTCTGGAGAAATGGACTGCTTTCACCTCTTCCAGAACCAGCCACCAGCCCACAGTTCCTGGGATCTTGCCTGGTTGGAGCAGGATTGCTGTTGCCCAGGGTCTACAGCGGACTCTATTCTGCCTCTGCATAAAACCAGAAGTCAACCAGACTGTGAAGGCGCAGGTCAAGTTTTGTGGATGGCTTGACTTGTTGCTGATTTAACAAGCTTGGACATAAAGGTGTCCACAAGACTAGACCTGCTTCTGGTCTTCAAAAACTCCCAAACTGATCAAGATTAAAATCAAATGAACAAGGCCTCAAAACTTTACTTATCCTGCATCTTGCTTTACCAAAGTGACCACCCATGACAGTGTTGTTTTTAATAGTGACTGCTGCCGCACTTCTTAAAAACTTAGATAGAAGTCAGCGGTTGATGTCAGTTAAATCTTTAAGTTCTTACAAGTCAAAGAGAAAGAAAAGCCCCTGCTAACTATAATGAAAACTCTTTTGGCTCACCAGGTTCAAAGACCTGACATATGCCCTGATTATGGCTATCCTGATTGCAGAAACAGCATATGGAAAGCACAGCCGTTATACTTTTCTACAGCTTTTGCATAGTATTAACAAAGACAGAGCAACTTTTAGATTAATGCTGAAAATTTAGGTGTATCACTAAATATGCTCACAGACTCATGACAAGATACTCAGAAATTCACTTTCAGATTTTATATCTTCTCTTCAAATCTGTGACATCTCTAGAAACAAGCAACAAAACCCTAAAGGAAAGAACATGTTGATTTAGGCAGGAATACTACTGCACCATAGCTGAGTATTTTAAGGAGACCAGATTCACACAAGAACTGCTAAGTTGTTCAGGCTTTCTGTAAGTCAGCGGGCATTTTGCCCTTTTAACACACGTAAAATCAGACCTTCAGAACGGGTCAACTCATTTATGAGACTTATCTTGCTACACTTTCTTGACAAAATGTTACTTTGTGGGTGCTGCTGTTTCATTTGTGGTTATTACCTTGTAAAATTTTCCTCTTATTATTCTATATTAGACATTCAGTTCCTGTGTTAACCTTCTCCTTGTGCCTTTCATACAGATTTCACAATCCTTTATTTATTTTTTTTTCTTCACTTATTTTGCATCTGCAGTTGATTCTTAATCTGGGGTGAAAGTTGCAAATAGGATCCCAGTAAGTTGTTCTTTTAATGCAATGTATGTTTACCAGCCCTTTGTGAGTTCATAGATTATAATATCATAAGATGATGCAGATTTGCTTCTGTTGGCAGCAAATATATAGGAAGATTTATAAAACAAATACCTTTCCCATCTAATACACCACAAAAATAACATTATGCACATTCTCTGTCAAATAGGAAACAGAATCCATCAAGTTTGGGGATACAATCACTTTTCATCTCTAAATTTAACTGAGTGTTTTAAGGCATGCACCAGCTTTTTTGCAACAGCAGTTTAACAAAACAGCGTATAATCAAGCTAGGAGCAAATCAGCAATCCAAAGTAACAAGCACATGCAATCAAATTTAACACTGTTCAGGATGTATGATAATACATAGATTATATAGTAAATTTTCTTAACAGTTACTTTCTTTTAGCAGCACTTTCCCACGTTGGAAGTATAATATTTTGAAGAAATATATGATTGGGGAAACGTGGAAATGTTTACCAAAAGGGGAAAAGACCAAGCCCAAACCATAACTGATATTAACAATTATCTCTGTTATGATTGTAGGAAGGTACTATCATATCCTCTGTTCAAAGTACACATGCACAAGGAATTTCATATTTTAAACACGAAAATTGAGAGCAGAACAAAAAACCTCAAACACTGAAGGATTTCAAGATACAAGGCTGTCATTTAGATTTAAAATCTAGATCTTATGCAAATATCAACACCACAGAAGTCCTCTGTATCTTGACAACTTTGCTACCTAACATCTTGTCAAAACAGGAAAAAATGCATTCAAAAGTACTACAACTTCCTG